ATTTATTTGTGAACCATAGTATGAATTTTCTGGATAGTGTGTCTGGCTGTTATATAAATACGATAGTGATTACGTGGCGGCATGTTAAAAGTGGTATGAAATTGGTATTTCTGCTGTTCGAAAAAGCATTAATTCATGGTAAGTTCATTTTATTTTATTCTTGTTCTTATTTTGTAGAATGTTATGTTCATTTTTTTTTTTTTTTTTTTTTTTTTAGTATGAATTTCTGTCAAATTAAGTTTAGTTATTTTAGTTTATTTTGTTGATTAGTGTGTAGCGTCTAGATTGTGCAATTCGTAGATGTTTTTTAAAGTTGAAACAGAACTCTGTGTACATGGTATTTTTTGAAATTTATTGTTGTTATGTTAATTTATTAAAGTGAGGTGTGCGTAGTTCGTAGATTCGTTCATTGCCTAGATTGTGCCATTTGTAGATTTTTTTTTTTTTAAGTTAAAACACATCGCTGTGTACATGGATTCTTGTCAAATATTTTTGGTTAGAAACTTTACATTTTTGCTATCTAAATTTTTTGTTTTTATTTCAGATTTTTAGCTTAAATTGTGTGTTCAAAACGTAGTTTTTGCAGACATTTTAGGCTTAAAGTTCGAAATGTAGACAAAAATTTAGATAGTAATATGGCAGCGGCTCAAAATTTGGCCAAAATGATAAAAGAAAGATCCTTCCTGTGGGCAACATTTATGAATCATATTTTGTAAACAAACTGATCCATGTTATGCTTGCAAGCTTATGCTGATGGTCATAACATCCATAATCAAACAGTAATAAGACATCAGTTCATGAAGGTTACAGGTCACAGATTAAAATTGTGTTGATTTTCCCAACCATATTTTAAACCAAATTTTCATTATTGAATAGTTATAGAAATGTTGTAACAGATTTCTAAATGTATAAAAAGTAATAAGAAAATAATAAGTATTATAATTATCAAAGCCTTGTTAGTTGCTAGTATATTAAATTAAGAGTTCCCATTGATGAGTAACTTAATTTTTGAATGTATTTTATTTACTTTATAGCTGCACTATATCATGTAATATCAACATTCTGTAGCAGTTCTTCGGGAATTTCGAACCAGAAAAAAATAATGTTACCAAATAACCAAAAAAAACAATAATAAAACCAAAGGGGCCTTTATCGCTGAGTGGTCTAAAGAAAATGATTAAGAAGTTCGAGGAAACGGGATCACTGACCATTCGCTCTGGGAGAGGACATAAATCAGTAGCAGAAGATGTAATAACTGATGTGGCAACTGCAATTGTTGAAGAATCACAGGGAACCATTGCTGGTACTAGCAGCACCCGGGGTGTAGCTCGACAATTGGACATGAATTTATTCCATGGTATGGAGAGTTTTGCGGCACGTTATTGGATTTTACCCCTACAAAATCGGCCGTTTGCACGAACTGAAACCAAGTGATTATGATAAGCGAGAGACATTCGCTCTATCGTTTTTTACCAGGGTAGAAATTGATGATGCTTTCCCATGGCACATTCTGTGGGGAGATTAGTGCCATTTTTATCTCAATGGGTCCGTAAACACACAAAATAGCCGAATTTGGGCTTCTGAGTAGCCCCACTCCATGCACGAAATCCCATTAAATTCTCTTCTGTTTGGTGTGGTTTCACAGATGAATTCGTAATTGGGCCATTCTTTTTTGAGACCATCACTCCGACAGGACCCCAAACGTGCAGCATAAATGCAGAAAGGTACCACGAAATGCTGCAAACATTTGTTATTCCACAACTTCAGCAAAGAAACCATCTCCAAGAGACAATCTTTATGCAGGATGGTGCTGCACCACACATTACCAATAAGGTAAAGCAGCTGTTGCGGCAAAACTTCACTGATGATACAGTCATAAGTCGCAGTTTTCCAGTTGCATAGCCGCTTCGTTCCCATGACCTCACGCCATGCGATTTTTGGCTCTGGTGTTATTTGAAATGTCAAATTTATGTTGGTGGAGTATCAAATTTGTCTGTTCTAAAGGACAACATAACAAAGACAGTGCGGAATATTCCTTGTGATATGTTACATACGGCTATGGAGAACGTTGTGCACAGAATGAATGGTGTTATTTCTGAGAACGGTGCTCACATTGAATGTCGTCTAATTCCTCACTGGGGAAGTTAATGTAGTAAATAAACATTAATAATTTAACTGTACGATTGTACGTCTTGATGTCCCATGTCTTGATTAGTGTTAATACCAAGTTTGGTACCATTTCGTCTGTTAGATCACACTACAGGGCGCTGCAAACACTGTCACTTTAAAAAAGATCTCCCTGTATATGAAATACTATACATGTGTGGCATTTGTGTTTTGCCACAATCCTCCTAAGTAGGCCCATTCTCATCTGAGTATAAAATTTGAAGTTGAGTGATATCTACATTAAATCCACACTAATTTATATACATGCACCTCCTATAAGAATTTTGTATATTTGTTTAGATATAATATGGAAATCTTTTATAAAATGCTTCCTCATTTTCCAGTTATTTTCTCGTGCTTGATTTCATAATAATCTTCTATTTCTTGCCATTTTTGCTATTTTTAGGATAACATTAAAGTTTATGTACAATATACTGTATTCATACTATATTACATATACAGAATCTATTAACTTTGATTTTATAATTTTGGTTTTATTAAAAATTGCTGACCACAGTCCCATATTGATGCAGGATTGTTTTTCATGTCAAAAATTTCAATTTTAACGCTTACGTTCTGAATGCAGCTGTGCTAAATACATTGTAATAAACAATATAGTAGGAAAATGATATCAGATATGTTTATTTCTTTGTATGTTAAATAACTGTGATAATTAGAGTAAGATAAATGCAAGGAAAAGGAATTTCAAAAGAAAAAAAAAGGAATGGTGTGCATTTTGTACTTTTAATATCCATTTCACTTTAAAAATTGGTTAAGTGTCATTTAACCACTAATTCAGCTCAGAAATTGCACAGGAAACTTAAAAATAGATAAATGTAAAATTTTTATTTTTTTGTCTGCTTTCTTGTACAAAGTAAAGAAAGTATTGTAATCATGAAAAATTCCGGGTACCATATTTCAACAAAAATATCTATTTTGACTGCTATTGAATGCAATTTAACAATGTTTTTGCATGACATTGGTACATAAAGATAGACTAAAGGACTCTTTCTCCCAAAACGAATTATAAAGCTGGTTTAAAACGAATTCAGAAGAAATTTATGTGTGGCATCTGTACGTACGTATCTGCCTGTGTATGTATCTCACATAACTCAAAAACGAGAAGCCTCGGAATGTTGAAATTTTATAGATAGGACTGCTATAATATGTAGTTGTGCACCTCCCTTTTTGGTTGCAATCGGCCGCACTAAAAATATATAAATACTTATATACCCATTTTGTTACTCAGTTCAGTTTTTTTATTCTTATAATGCTGGTAAATTTTGGCATTTTTTGCTTTAAAAAATGATTGAATTATGTTCTTATCTTCTGGTTAAGGTTTTTATGCCTGTAATGAATCTGCATGCAATATTTGTAGAATTATTGACAATTTAAAGGTTGTTTAAGTGTGGCTAAGCATAAATTTTTTTTATAACCATAACTGTCATATTTGTTTACATTTGAAACTTAGCAGAATAGTGAATTAATTCTTTCTGCACCTTCAGTGTCTTTTTGCCGAGTGGACCGAAAGAAAACTTTTAGGTTTGTGCACCGAAAAATCTGCTTTCTTGCCTGCTGGCCAAATTGCTTGTTTTTGTGTAGAAACTGTAATTTTAATTGTAAAAATTGCTTTTTTAATTGTTTTATGTTTTTCTGTGACTTTCAATTTTTACTGAAAATCTTTTGAGTTTTAATGTATTTTTGCCTTGCTGCAAAGTGAGAACTGAATTAATTGAATGAGAAATATATCTCTATTGAAATTTGAGTAAATAAGTTTAAATGAAATGCAGCATAAAGTATTATGAAAGTATGAAATGCAGCATATATGTGTCTAATTTAATATTCTGTACAAGGGAGTCATGTGGTGTACACATCAGCTTTTTTATTGAAATGGAAGGATTTAACAGAAACAGCTTATCTGTAGCAATTATTTATTCCGGTTATTAAATAAGACATTAACCAGTTACATTCAAAGGCATGATAAATCATGAAATATTATACATTTATTTTTTTATCTACAGTATCCTGACAGATTGTATTCTAAGGCTGTGAATATCTTGTAGAATGTGAATGAAAACTTCACTTTCACATATCCCTATAACAAGTTCTCCCTCATTTTCTGGTTGACTTCTGTCTTGGTTTGCTGAAGCTGTCATCCACTTGTCTAGATATTTACTTTAGCAGGATTTTTTATGGTGGTATTTGAATGCTCTAGTTTTCACTCTCATTGTTTCTGACATTAACAACCTTAAAAATGCTCATTTGTCAGGAGATTCCAAATTGCAGGATCTGGAAGATAGCAACAATGCATTGATTGTCATAGATCAGTGATCTTAAGCTGGTGACCCCCTCAGGAAGCACTTTTATGGGACCTGTAAATGCCTTTAAATCAGTGGTCGCTAAACATATGAAGCTTTTAAGCTACCGTACCATTTTAAAATCTACTGTTAGCTTTCGGTTTTTATAATTTTCTTTGCACCATAAGTTTTAATTCTATTCGTTTTAAAATTTATGTCAAGTGTAAATAAATATCATACTTATTTTAAATGGTATGCTCCTTCATATTGTATTGAATTATGCATGAAAAATTGTCTTGATTTAATGATTTTTGTGATTTTGATTACCATAGAGCTGGAAATGAATTACCATAGAGCTTTTGAGTATTGCTCTATTCTTCAATCTTCTAAAATATGATTATCTGACAAGCTTAATATCGATATATATTTAAATGAAATATTAAGTATTTAATTTTGCTGTAAGTGTCAATTAATTATGTTAAATTATTTCTTTATGCAATTATTCAATTTTCAATGTATGTTTATGTAATATTCTAGAGATGCAAATTGGGAGCAAAAATTAAGTGAACTCTTTGAAGAAAATTTCAAAGATGGCGAGAATCCCCTAAATGGTACGCCATTCTCATTCCTTTCTCCTCGATCCAAAGTTGAAATTCTACTTAAATTGTGCCAGTTGCGACTAGATGTACCTGATGCTGCAAAAGAAATAAAGGTATGATTTTTTCTTGACATGAATTTTTGATGTTAATATAAAAGAATGTATCTGGCTGGTATGTATAGTTTACTTTTGTTTACTGAATCAAAGAGTAGCAAAAAGTGTCAAATCAAAGTGTATCAAAGTGTAGAGAGGAATCATCCTTTAGTCCCAGCTGTAGCTTTTGTCCTTTCCATGGTTTGGTTACATTCTCGTACTTGCCTTAGTCAGTTCCAATTTATATTCTTGTTGCAGTTATGGCTGAATTGTGTCATTTTTTTAAATATTTCATTCTTTCTAATGACTAAGTAGAAATTAGTAAGCAGTGACTAAGTAGAAATTAGTAATGCATCAAATTGTAAGATGTCTTCCCTCTCTTGGAAGTTGTATAAATATTTGGGGAAGTCTGTTTCGGAAGATCCAAATGATCATAAGGTTGTTGATGTGTGTTCCTTGATCTATTACACCAAGATATTTTACTGTACATTTATTTGCAAGCCGTATGCCACCTGGCATGTTTACAAGCATTATGCCTACTGGCATGTACATGATACACATATTCTGCCACTTGGCATGTAAATTGATGCATCATACTAGTTTTCTGCCACCTGGCAGATACGATGCAATTATGTCGATTATCGGTAATATGCCTGACATTTTGCTGTGTCCGCTCCCTTTAGGTTCTATAAAGCAACTAACTTTTTTGTGCGATGCGTCCTCTGGATACAAATCACCGCATTCACCGAGAAGGCCAAAACAGCTGTTATGTGGATTGTGATTGGAATGAATGTAAACTGTGGATTATCATGTAGATTGTGTCAATCCACTGTCATGTAGATTGTGTATCTGGTTTCTGCTGTTGTGGATGCCCACATGACAGCAAAGAATGAACATCAATCAAGTGTTGCTGCAAGTTAATGTAATACAAATGGAGACTAATGAAATGATGAAAATTGTTGAGACAATGGCCTTTCCCATGGTCTTGTAACTGAATCAGAGTTATTTCTCAGTTCCTCAAAGGAAGAAAATAATTGGGTTATCCCGAGGAGTGAATGATTATCAGTTAGTTATTCCTAAGGTGGTTATGAAGTTATAAAATTAACTATGTTTGCTATCCTGAAGCTTTCAATTGCCTATTAAATAACATTTATCGTGAACTTGAGAACAATAGTGGCTGATTCTTCCTGGTTGGCAATGCACTATCACAAGGAGTTTGAGTATGGAAACTTAGCCGAATGTTGGATTTTCTGACTCTTTCATCCATTCTGCTGTCTAGATTTGAATCCTATCAACTTCTTCTCTTCTTCTTAAATTGAAACTGATTTTGAAAGATGAGATTTCATAAAAGTTGATGAAACGAGTAAAATTATGCCTATCAAGTTTAAGTTTACTGTTACACACAGTTTACTGAAGGTCATTCACAATTTACAGAAAAAAATTTGATAATTAATTTTTACAAAGGCATATTTCTTATGGTGATTTGCTTCTATCTGAATTGTTGGCTATAGCAGTAACTTGATTTTTCCATGAAATGAAACTTTTTTAGCACCATCATGCCAGTTTTATCAGACCCCTTTTGAATTGTATTCCGAAGTCCATTTAGTGTTCTTGGATGTCATTTTCTTAAGGCTTGTTTAAAATCTATAAGAGAAATGTCAGATAATTTTACAGATATTTAATTATATGAAATATATTTTATTCCCGTTTCTGATTCTTTCTTTGCTAAATAAGTGGCAGTTGACTTAAATATATGACTACAGTTATTGTCCATATTAAACTCAACTTTATTAATGTCTTATACATAAGGCTTTCTTCAGAAATTGGTTATAAAATATTCTGCTAATAGTACCATGAATTAGTTTTGACCTTGAGATTTTTTTCAGTTTTAATTTACTCTTGTACTGAAATTATAAATCTGGTGGGAACTTTTCTGTATATTGACAAAGCCACTTTGTACAGTCATTTTCATGAGCTGAGCAGCAGAAAATTATCTTTTTTTTTTTTTTTTTTAGTCCAAAGGGATTTGAATCCCGAAGGACTATTAGTTTCGTTTTGGCATTTTGCGTCGGACTCATAAATGTCGGTTCACTTTTCAAACTGTTGCCACAAAATGTTAGAGTCCTGCATTATATTTGAAGAAATTAAATAATGAAAAATCTGCATAAATGTATGTATATTTCTCGTATTGTGATAAAACAACGGTACATAGAGTCATCGAATTTTGAATAACGTAATCCTCCAACGAATATGAGCATGTGGAAGACCAAATTTGAAATTTGAAATTTGTTTTATGATCGATTTCCTATTTTTTAAAACTTTGACGAATTTTTGATTAACAAACTCAAGGATTTCAAAGCGAGCAATGGCAACGTTGTGCAGAAAAAACATTTTTATCTCCAGCGCGTGAGTCTCTGTATCGGAAATTCTAAAGATATGCTCGTTTTAAAACTATTTTGCGATATTGCTGTTGCACTGGATCTTATGGTTTAAGTGCGAGGAACATGATATTTAATAAAGAAAGGTAACACACAAAATGTTAAAAAACGCCCCTTTGGACGTAATTTAAAATCTGAAACATTTCAGATTTTTTTTTTTTTAAATCACAGACATTTAAATATGCCCATGCCTCATTGAGTATAACCACAGATTTCCATGTATCAGTAGCTATATGTTTTTTTATATAATTTTCTACAATTTCTCTTTTCTCCCACAATATGCTTAAACGAAAAAAGATAAACTTTATGTTTAAATGTCTGTTAACTTCAGATCTTTACGAATGATTGGTAATTATGTACTATCCCATCGACCATAAAAGTTGGTTACCATCAAAACCTGAAAGTTGGCAGAAATCCCTTTAATGTGGCATCATTCGGTCAGTGGCGATGATATTGAAATCATTATGAGCGCCTTAAAGCGGCCTTGCAGATGTCTCAGTGCCCCCTTATTTCTGGAACCCTGGAGATCTCTAAATGACAACTCTCAGTAGGAGTCTAAGAGGGTTGGTCATCTTCATTTTAGACCGCTACATTTTATTACGAAGAAAGTGTTTTAGACATACAACAAACTGATGCGAACATTCTTCACTAAATAAATAAGCAGTATTTAAAATTTTTCCAATACACTCTTTAAACAGATAACATTTTCATAAAATATCCTTTAGATTTCAAACTAAATGTTCAGAAATATGCAAAATTCTTGTGAATTCAATTAAAAAATAGCATTTCAAAATATTTACATTATTTAAATAAATTTACATATGATTATCTATATGCATAAAACCGGCAAGTTAAAAACTTTGAATTTATGCACGCAAAACAAATAGTACTGCGTTTAATTAACCTGAATTACATGCAATTGCATATAAAGAATAACATTACTTAAGCAATAAGTCAGATAAAAATTAGAAAATCAATAGTCTATTTTAATAAGTTACAATAAGCGTATTCTTGATACAGATTTATAAAGCACAAACTAATTTAATAGTAAATATAATAATGGCGAATTATTTATTCTTTTTGGAACAATGCTCGTCACTTGTATTGGTTTGCTGAAGTTTTATTTTAATACATTTTAAATAATCCAATTCTTTTAATGTACATTGATTTGAATGTGATTTGTAATTTTCATTAGAAAAAATTTTAATAAGTTTCATTTTCTTGCATGCTCATGCTTTACATAGCATATATTGGTTTGCTCAACGCAATGTAACTGTAAGCAGCAACGAAGAGTTGAGTTAAAATTTTCATATTTTGTTACATAAATTATTAAAATAACCATAAATTATTAAAATACAGCGTAACATCCGAGTTTCCGAAATGTAACCTGCAACTTTTCTAGGAGTTACAAATTTGAATTAAAAAAAATAACTGTAATTAAATATTAAAAATGATACACTAAGAAAAGAAGCACAAAAGTTTTTTTTTTTTTTTATGTTTGTTATTTTATTGTTTTTGGATATATATTGTTGGTGAATAGTGCAGTTGATTTTGGCAAATGACATATAAAGAAGAATGATGTACATTATTTATTATTTAAAATGCATAGAAATTTCCTCTAAAATAGTATCAATTGAATGTTGTCTATTCAGTTGCAATGATACTTTAACTTGGTTAACATATCAAATACAGTTTCATTTTTAATAACTTTGTCAGCAATCTGAAGAACCATTTCAAATCATTACATGATTTTTAATAAAACTTGGATTAGTCTAGTTTTAAAAATATTTAGAATTACCGAAATAATAAAAGCTAACCTTATTTTAATTTCTTTACCAAAGTACTACATCCTTAGTCAGCAAGAACTGATCATAAAATCTGAGCCTTATGCCCAAGATTCATAGGTCTAAGCAGCAAAAAAAGCTTGTCGCTCTAGAGGAAATCATCACATAAGATGGAAAAGGTTTTACAAGTGATCATTATGTTAGAGACAAATCACAACTTTTTAAATTTAATCTCTTTATTAGAGATCAAGAATTTTACCATAATTTTATTTTCACATATGCAATTGATCACCGTGTTTTTAACTTTCATTGTATAAATTAAAGAAATACCCAGCAAATTTGTTTTGACATGATATGCGAAAGGATGACTAAATACTGATTGATTTTACAGTTATATTAAATGACAGTGATTAAAAAAATACTAGCTGTAGATGTGTAAAAAACCTGTACTTGTAACCTTCTGTATTTCTAAAGGGAAGCTTAAAATGGTTCACAATAACAGATGGCTTTGATCATTTAGTAAAGTCATCGTAGGTACATTCAGTTCATGGTTTTGAAGAACTGCAGTAGCTCAGATTTGTTGCAAAAGAGTAATTACACCCTTGAGGGGCTGTTTTACTTACGGAACGGAAAAACAAGCTTTGAAACATACACCTACGAAAGATGTACCTTTCTTACATTTTCTTACAATGGCAGATGTGATGATTTGAACACATGCTTTCAATCAGTTGCTTCCTCCTAAGAAGGTTCCTAGCAAAGTCTTGTACTGTTTTAAATATGCTGTGTTCAAGCATTGTGA